TACTACTACTACTACTAGTAGCATCACATTAGGAAACGACAGGCCATGTGACTGGATTGGAGTCAAGTTCAACTTAACCCAACGTGTTTCCCTCGCATGTCCTCGATAGAACGAAGTCAAAAGCATCCTCCCGAAAATGTACATCCGAGAGTTCATACTGCAAATCGCCGAATGCCACAGCTCCCGATCCAATCTAGGACTCTGCTGTTTTCTGCGAGATTCTCCAACCAAAGTGTCAGCTCTGACGCCGTTTGCCGCTCGGGCTTGTGATGAGAGCTGGCAGCGCGTGGTGCGGCCGGGCCGACGAGTGCTCTTCGAGAGATATTATACAGGAAAAAGTTGCTGTTCGAGAGCCCTCGCGCTCCAAAGTCCAGCACCTGGCGCCTTGCGCATTTGCACCTTGCCAGGACATAAAACCTGCCTGAAAATCAAGGGGGAATGACGAAGCGTTCCCCCCTTTACTACAAAAAGTTGTTGACAACCTGCTGCTAAAAATTCACTCGGGAGCAGAAAATGAGGGGCGCTCAAAGGCCAACCCTCTGGGGCTAGGGCCTACGGAGGTTTCTCACCGCCGTCAGCTCCTGCAGCAAACGGGCCTTGCAACCGTCGCTACAGCGCCCGGCAGCCATCCGCATCATCTCCGAGAAGCTCATGGACTGAATGACCTGGCTCAAGCTGTCAGAACACGTTCACAAGCCTTCCCCGAGCAGCGACACACCGCGGCACCTTCCGCAGGTTGCAAAGCAGCCGAGCTTTCTGCTTTGTTGGCGCTGCGGGCGGTGTCAGCCCTGCCTGCACCTCCAGCACCTGGGTGAAAAAGACTCCCATCAGGACAGCAGGTCAGCTTCAATACTCTTCGCCCAGGCGCTGCAAGCAGGAAGCCCACATCTTCGAGGCCATCCTGAAGCGCTCTCTCCCGTGCGAGGACGGCAAGGAGGCCGAAGAACTCCTCCTTTCCCAAGGTCTTGCTGAATTCGCGCTGGCGCTTATCGGGTGAGACGGGGTGATGGGGCCAGTGGCAGTTACCGCACGCCTGGCCCTTCCGACACCCAAGGCCCCGTGCGAATTGAATACATGGCTTCGCACACAAAGTGGGATGCCCCACACTGCCACGACTCCGGCTTGGTGCGGGCGCTTCCGCTGGCTCTGAGTTCGCGACGTGACCGCCTTGCAGGCGGCGCAGATGCTGCTTGGCCACTTCGTAGTCTGTCAGGTCTGGGCTGGCGATGGAAGCCCAGCAGCGGCTGGGGGAGGCGCTCCGCACCCTCCCCGCACGACCCTGCGCATCTGATCCACCCGTCTTCTCGATGTCAATAAACGTGAAACGGTAGGAGAGCTTCGACATGGTGACCGCACGGACGCTACCGTGTACCCTGCCTCACGCCTCTCGAGCTTCAGCAGTTCTCGGTGCACGTGTTCTATGCAAGTAGCCTCCTACTCCTCCCAATACTCCTACATCTTCTAGCTCTCCCTCACGTTCGCACAGCCGTCTGCCACTGCTACTTCTTCGGCTCTGGCTCCGCTAATTACCACTGCTACCACCGCTACTCGGCTACTCGTATTGTCACCACGGTCTGTTTCGTCTGTACGGTGCTCCTTCGGTACTTCGGTACCCAGGAGGCTCACGGCATTTCCCCACTCGGGCCCGCACAATGCAAAGTTGGCGAGGCGATCTTCCAGGTTCAGGCACACACACGAGGCGTCCTGTGCTCAGAGGTCAGGGGTTCAAGGAGTAGAACTGTAGTAGTTAAGCCTTGAGAGCACTGCTTGTAGGAGCTTACTGGTAGGAGGAAATCTTCAAGCCTCACGCCACATCAGCCGGCCTCCATGGCTGGCCGCCAACCACGCATCTCCGAGGAGCACCAGGACAAACGGCCCCTCGAAGAGTGTGCTACTCCAGGGTCGAATCAGTTGAGACTCCCAACAACTCCGGCTTAGGAGAGGGGCTCCTCTGGGGCTTCTTGAGAAGCTTTCTTCGAGCAAGGGCACCACATCTTCGTGTCAACCATGAGAGTAAGTTCGACAGCCGGCATTCGGTTCTTAGCGTGTGTGCAGATGGCAAGTGACTTCGTTCGTGACAGAGGATGAACAACTGACACGGCTACAACAGCAGCATCACTTGCTGAAGCTCTTGCTCTTCCAAAAGGAACCCGACTTGAAGTGTCACTTTCCAAATTCCGGCACCGAATGCCCAACCCTTTCACCACTCCGAAGAAGATGCCTCAAACGCTCGAGAGCCCGTTCAAAGACAACCGGCCGGGCGCCGGGCGCGCTCCCTTCCTCCGTTCTTTTCCGACGGTCCGGCCCTACAGGCCCATCGGTCTGAGCCTCGCCACAAAAGCAGGAAGAATCGAGAAGCCAATAAAATCAAATCTGGAAAGAGCTTATTACACACCAACTGCACTGGTAGCAGAATCACAAGCTTCCGGTGTGCACGATGTTAAACACCCTTCGGAAGCGACCTTTCACCCACAACAAGGGGAAGGAAGGGACGCCACCGCGAGTTCTCTGGAGCCCTGGTATGACTCACCAGCTCCCAAGAAGCACCTCCAAAAATCTGGCAAGCCTCTGTGTAAGGGCTAAGCTCCCGGCAGTGTCTGGCTCAGCTTCTTGCTCTTCAGCAACGTGCTGCTTGCCCTGCGCAAATCCAACAGCCACAACCTACACTCTTCTTGGAATTCACATGGCCTACTCTGCAGGCTTGGGTCTGAGAAAGTAAAGCTTTCCGTTTCATCTGGGAGTTTTGAAGCCGTCTGAAGCCCTTCAAAAATCTGGAAAGCCTCGCTGAGGTCCTATAAATCATAAAGCCGTAGAAAGCCCAAAAACAACACACAGAGCCGCCTTGGCCCAAACCTTTCCCAAGGTGACGCCTCGTTGACCTTCATGTTCAGGCCGAGGCCTTTCTTGCCGCCCTTCTTGCCACCTGGTTTTAGGATGCTTGAGAGTTTATAGGGCCTTTACAATAATCGATTTGGGGTTGAGGTGCTACGGCGTTGCAGATTCAGGGATCAGGGTCTTCTTTTTTTCGGGCTTTAGGGTTCAGGGTTAAGCCTTGACTCCGGCAAAGGGTCTTGCAAGTGTCTGAAGCCCGGCTTCTGGCAAAATTTTCTGTAGGCTTGGGCAGACAGGGTCCCATAAAAAGAGCATCGCAGGCGTCCTGGACTGAGTGGGCCACCACAGCGAGAAGTACAAACAAACCCGTCTGGCGCAAAGAAGTTGCGATTGGCAGTGCCAGTGCTGCGCAGCCATCAGAAAAAAGGCACTTGTAGCGGTGTGCTCTCGTTCAGCAGTTTATCCGATGTAGCTGTAGTGCTTCGAGTCTTCTCCTCCTCCGGTCCTCTGCCTCCTCCTCCTCCTCCTCAACCTCCGCCTCCGTCTCCTCCTCCTACTCCCGCGTCTGCCTTCTCCTCGCATCGCACAATACGTGCGCCGGAGTTAAGTCGATCGAAGTGAAAAGATCTGGGAATCCCCAAGTACACGCTAGGTTTCAAGGGGCTGGCCCGATGTGCAAAATCGATACGCAGTGCGACAGTCTCCACAAAAACTGAAGCCCTAGAGCAACGAAGCTCAGCAACTTGCAACCCACACAAACAAATATTCCCCGTGTAGACGCTCGATTTGAGAAGCACCTGCCTGATACCTGGCACACTTCTCGACAGGTGACAAAAGCAGCCAATCCGGATGTAGACACTCGGTTCACAAGCTCAAGGGCAAGACAGTGTGAATTTGTGCGCACGTGTGTGCGGAGGTGGAGGTAGGTGTGCGTCTCCAGCCAAACAAAGTGAGACACTCGAAAAACGCAAGCACCAATGGACCAACTCGAGACACAAGTGGCATCACAACATATCCAAGCTCAAGGAAAGACCGCGCACTGTACTGGATGGTTTCATGGTTCTTGCATATGGCCCAGCTGGGTCGAGGTATATGCTTGCATTGAGAATCCCCCACGTTCACACTGCCGTGGGCTGACCGTTCGCATATCTCCAGGCATGGAATCGACATGTGCTTTCAACAGGAATCCCTATGTTCACGCCGCCACGGGCTGACCACTAAGCATGTCTCCAGGCTGGGGTGCATATCTGTTTTCAGTGGGAACACGCAAGGTCACGCCGCTGCGGGTCGACTTTACACAACGCGGGACGACTTAACACACCTACTAGTACGAGTATCACACTCCCCGCTTTGGAAACCCTGAAACATGCTTCTCCGAGCCCAGCACCTCGCGCTGTGGCACAATGGCGGGAACCCCCTCAGCGGCAGCAAAGGCTGCGTTGCTTTGCTCCGCTTTTGTTCAACCATGCTTTGAAGTTTGGGGATTTCGTCTGCTCTCTTTCCGTCTGAGAGTGTGGGTGAATGGCTCCGACAGTCAAAGGGAGCACAAACTCGAGGTCACAAGCATGCGCTGTCATGTCGTGACCGGGACCCATGCCTTCTGCGAACCGTGTAACTTTATATGTTGCGTCATGCCACGGGTCGGCACAAATTGGGAGTACGTGTCGACCGAGCAACGTCTGCATGGTGGCATACTACAAGGTTGTCCATTGAGTATGTTGACTATGAACTGCATTGTAAACATCTGGCTTCGGATGCTGCATTCCTGCCTGTCGTCCTCGTTCGTATGCTGACGATGTTAAAGCATTCTCTCATTTGCAGGCTTGCTTGCAATCTGTGGAGCGGGAGTCTTCCAAGTTCGTCGCCTCGTTTGGCGGTACATGAACACCGACAAATGCTTCACCTCTGGTCAAAGTGGTGTACCTGGTCCGGTCAGTGCTTCCATGTCGCACTCGGATGAGTTCCGGCTGGTTGGCGGAAGCTTTGTTTACAGACTCGCCAAACACGTTTCCGAACTAGAGGTTATAAGCGTTTGCAGAAATGGATGCGGGTGGTTGTTCGTGCTCACCACTTACCTGTATCCTTTCGTCATGGGTGCTTGTGTCTTCTGCGCAGTTTACTTGGGGCACGGGCACGCATCAATTAGCCACTAATCACTAAACACGAAGGTGTTCTCAACAAGCGTCGTTCTGCGGTTCTTCGTTGCCTCCTTCAGCGCGACCATTGTCAGGTTAGCCCTGGCCTGTGTATCTCGCTATTCGTCTCGCCATCGTTGAACCTGCCGACGGTCTTCTGTTGGTATGGCGTGTGATGTGGTCGACTTCACGTTCTGACGATTTTCGCGTGCTTTTCCACTCGCCTCAAGTCGCGGCTAAAGTTAAAGATGGTCCCATGGCGAGACTACGAAAAGTTGACTCGCTTGCCAGAGTTTCGCGGTTGTGTTGCAGACATGTTTCGTCGTCCGCAACATGAACTTGGTTTGTGGGTTCATCATGTGCGCGAAGACTGGAGAAAGGCGCAGTGGACACGTGTTTCCCGCGATCGTCCAACTTTCAAGGGGACTCAGAGAGGTAGTCTTCGTGATCATACTTTGGCTTATCTCCGTCGTCTTGATCATGATTCGAAGTCCCACTCCGGCGAAACTGTTACGGTTGCGCACGAGGACGCTCATATGCGGGCTTCGGGCGGGCTGGTGACCCTGGACGTTGTCTGCCGACATCGTTACAAAACCAAACAGATCTGTGACTGCAGCAGCTGACCTTGGTTGATCTCTGGCTCACTTTCGTCAATATCTCACCGGTGACGTCTCGCATCCTGGCGACGGGGGCCCTCCTGCAGATCGCGCTCCACATGTTGCTGGTCAGCGCACGATCGCGGGCATTCATGAAAATTTTCACTTTATCAAGGGTGTGGGATTTTCTGTGCCAAAGGCGGTGTGTTCGTCACCGAGGTACGCCACTGCAGACTCAAGATGTCGCGTACCAAGTGCAAGCAGGCCAACTTGCCTCAGCGACAGTGGCTTACAGACCCGAAGTATGCTTCGAACCCGCACACATTACTTGCACTCTTTTTGAACATGGGTCCACATGCAGGGCAACACCGGCTCGCGTGGGATGGCTCAGCTTAAAGATCAGAACCGAATGGTATTGTGAAGTGTTTGCAGTGTGATAAGCAATGGCCTTGCAACGACCGTCACAACATGAAATGTACTCCGCAGTGCCCTAAACGAAAGCGAAGTCGTGTTCGTGCTCCTCCTCGCTGCATTTCTCTTCGTGCAACGGACAAGGATTATGACACCGCAGTTGATGTTTTACTGAGGGCGACTGTTGCGGCTTCTACTGATGTTCATGATGATCCTGTTCCCGCGCAGAACACAGCACATGACCGTCTCAACACTTGTATTGGCGACGGAACATCGCAGAGATTCAGAATTCGGATACGTATGTGTGGCAAGACTTCTTTTGCGCAAGATGGTTTTCGTCAAGCGATTACCGTCTCGAATGAGGTGAATGATTCTTCTATCTTGTCGTCTGCTAGCAGAGTGCCTGCAGATGATTTTGCCTTCCCTGAGCTGTCAGGTTTTCAGTTTGATGACATGGGTTAATCCGCTTCCCTTTTCAGGGCGATTTGGCATCGGCTAAGTTGTCCTCGTAATGACAAACTTCTGCGAATCGTGTAACTTCAGCCAAAGCTACTCTCCTCACACCTCTGAGGCAACCTACTACGGTCCTGCATCTTGCTGGACCGAACAATGTTTGAGAGTATTCCCGAGTGGCGCTGGGGGACATCAGCTCCTGACAACAAAATCTTCGGGGTCGTAGACTCTGCATGTGGTCAATCGTACGACCGAAAAGAAAAGATAAGAAGAGATACAGATTCAGGCTCTGACAATCCTTCTGGAACGTCTTTTGAACTGGCACCTTCCTCAGGGTGACTTTGAAGGTGAATGTCCAAACGCAGAGGTGCATTCACTCAGGAATCATGCACCTGCCTACCTACCCAGCTACCTACATACCCACCCACCCACCCACCTATCCATCTACCTACCGACCTGCCTGCCTACCTACCTACCTACCTACCTACCTACCTACTCTTCTTGAGAATCGCAACGCTCGAATCGCACGGACTTGAATCGCCAGTGCTCAAATCGGGCCACCTCTCGAATCGCACTTTTACGCACACATACGGAACTGTCTACATACCGAGGTGCATACTCACACACGAACCTGAGGACATGCAGGCGCACAAGCGTGCACAACCATATGGCCTCAGACTGATCTTCATCTGCATATACCATGTCCACTGCGGAAGCAGCCTACGCCCCATCCAAGTGACAGGCGATGGGTGCTGTGGAAAATTGGGCCTGGCCTGGGCAGAACGTTGGAACTTCAGGCTGCAGGGTGCGAGATTCGGGAAGTCGGAGCTCTCGAATCCTGCTGCGATCCCCGCCGCCAAGGTGTGACAAAACAGCACAGCTCTCAGCTAGCCTCATCTGAAATTCTGTTGAGAATCACCAAACAGCAACAGCCACTCAGCCCAAACACATGCCACAGACTTTCCTCCGATCTTTTGATGGAGCTCTCATGCACGCTTCAGCTGAGACCGGGCTCCTGCTTCGGGAGATCCCTTCGATTCAGATGCGACCTTTGTGAAAAGCCCCCGTCAAAAGGCGGCGCTCCATTTGGCAGCTCTCCAGTGGCATCTTCGTCGATCGTGAGGCCTGCGCTCGTCGGCTGGCGCTTTCTTGCTCGATCCGAAACTCTGGGACTTCAAGAAGCCCATGATGCCCAGGGCCCGAGGCTGTTGGCAGAAGGGAGACTCGTACAAGGCAGGCACATTCCAGTGCACGGAGCCAACCGTGACGTTTACAGCTCCTAGAGCTTTCCCTTGCAGTGAAACATTATTCCGACAGACACCCGCTAGAACCGAAACATGTGCGAATGGACCATGATGACAATAGAGAGGTGCTGATTGAACTTGAAGCTATGTGTTTATGGAAACATGAACTGCTAAACCCTACAATGCCTACAACCTGATAGAATCGCATGTGATAGCTGTGTGTGAGCCCCGCAAGCTCCTATCAAGCAAAATCGTGGAGGCCTCTAGCTTGGTGCGCCGCCTCCTCCAGCGACGCGATCTGTGCAGCTACCTTTCGGGACTTCGGGCTGAGGTGTTAGGGTGTTAGGGTCGCTGGATGGGTTGGGAGGTTAACCTCCCTTTTTTTCCCTCCTCCCACACCAAAATCCCGCGCACCAAGCTCCTCCGGAGGGGGGGGGAGGTCCCGGCACCATTTTCCATGGAGGACGCTGACGTTCGGTGTTGTAGCTTCTCCCCTACGTTTCTCCATGGCCTGGTAGGGACTTTGAAAATTGTGTTGGGTTTTGCAAGGAATTCTGTCAAGGAAGATTCGGTGCAACCTCGTAGGCCAACAAATCCTCAGCCGCTATCCTCAGTCGCTTCTTGAATGGTTGTGATTCTGGATGGACCCATGAATGTGGAGCTGGATGGTTCGTGGCTAATCATGCCTCAGCAATCTTGCGTACTTCTTCTGTTTTTCAGTCCTCAGCTGGGGAGGGGAGTGAAACTTGTCATCGTCATGGGATCCTCGCTAGGCAAACCGATTCTAGGAAACCCGGAAACCCCACATTTCCCACTCTAATTCAACTCCCGAAACCCCCTTCACCTCCAGAAGCCCCAAAGCTCCAGGCCTCTGCCCGCAGCATTGCCAGCTCCTCCAACATGCTCTGCAGAAGTGTCGAAACCCCTTCCGGGACCTTCGGACCTAAGAGATTCTGAAGAACAACCTATACAGCCTCAAACCAAAGCCCTAACCCCAAGGAAAGGGCTCCTCGACCGAGCTGGCATCTGGGCACTTGATGAGGCGCGCCTGGCCAAGGAGGCGGTGAAGAGCCAAGATTCCCAAGGCCGCAAGCAGAAAACCCAAAGGGGTCAGGGTTTGGGTTTAGGGTCCAACTCCTCGTAGCGACAGATTGACGCAATTACGGTGTAGTGGCGTCGATTTCGATGGCAGCATTCTCAGATTCGAAAGCTGAAGCGTCTTCGGAAGCTTCTTCTTGGACTGACGGTATGCACTCTGTTTGAGCCCAATGCTTGGCTTTAGGGCCGTAGGATTGAAATGTTATGAAAATGTTGGAGGCTCTGGGAAAGAAAGGTCCAGAGCCCAGAGAGAAGCCCCCACAAGTTTGATTCGGACGTAGGATTCGCAGCGACTTAAACCCATCATCCCAGGCTCGAAGCGGGTGGTTTCGTGATCCGGGTACCCGGCCCTCATCACGGCGACCCGTTGCTCGGCATGAGCACGATAGGCAGACAGCCGCAACAACAGATCCTGCTTCGGAGCTTCGGGTCGCAGTGCTAGCAGCCACTCTACTGGTGGCGACGGTCACATCAAACGTCTACTTCTATTTATACCCGCTGCCTCTGCTGTTGCTACTACTGCTCCTGCTGCTGCTGCTGCTGCCGCCACTACTACCAGTGCTGCCAGTATTACTACTGCTACTACTATCACGGCGACGCCACGGCTATGGCTATCGACGACGACGAAGACGACGACGACTACTACTACTACTACTACTACTACTACTACGACGACTAGCTCAATATCGTAATCGTCATCCTCATTGTCATCATCACCATCAAAAATTCATCGTCAGACATGGCCGTCATTGTCATCATAGTCATTAGTTGTCATCGTTGTCATCGCCATGACCACGGTCACGGTGACTCCATGGTCTCAGGTTTGTTGCAGGCTGCAGATCCAGGATTCGGTCTCCCAGAGTGTGATCCTTCCATGCACACCTACGGACTTTGCTGACCATCTCGACGGCTTGGGTGCCGAATCCCGCGCAAAATGTTGAAATCTGGACTCTTGTAGCGGAGTTGGGGCTTGGATTCCATGCCGATGGAAACTTCGACGCAAGCGGAATGGGCTCTGGCATGCAGATTCAACTCCTGCCCCCCACACCCCGAGCTTATGGACTTCATCGTGTAAAAGGAAGAAACAACTCACCACGATCTCTCACTCTCAACGCCAGCCCCCAGAAGGCAAGCCAACACCATGAAATCCTAGTCCAGCCACCAGCCCTCCATGCTCCACCTCTCCTGTTTCGGGTAACCTTCGCACGTGACTCTCTGAGAAGTGGGCGAGGTAGGCGGTCGCTCCTTGGAGGGCACCTAAGGTGCATTCCTGCTTGATATGAAATCTGCTTCTGCCGGTCTATGCTGCTTGCTTCACTAGCATCGAATCATGGTCGTGATTCGTTCGGTGCGCTGTTCTGGCTAGCTGTTCGACTTGTACTCCTGCCTGCTCCTCCTTCTGCTACTGTTACACCTACGACCACCACTACTACTGCTGCTGCTGCTGCTACTACTACGACGACGACGACGACGACGCATATTTCCAGTACTGCCACTGCCATTGCCACTACAGACGTCACTACGACTACCAGCAGCACTAGCACTGGCACCAGCACTGCCAGCGCTGGCACCAGGCACCAGCACCTGCGCTAGCACCCGAGCCTCATCCGACTTTCGCGGCTGTAGTGGGCAGCTCGGCGGCTCAACTTGCTTTTGTGCTGCCTTCGAACCAGGTTTCGAGGGCACCTGGGGCGCTTGCACGTAACGAGGAGGGAATCATGGCCACAAACGTGGTTGCCTTTTCCGAAAACTGCTGTGGCTCAACCCAGCGTCAACCCTCCCCAACAGCAAACGCCAGGCAGGGTGCCTCTGCGCCGCATCCGGCACTTTGACCACTCTCGGCAATGTGAAAGGGCCACCGTGGCTGAAGCGGCGCCCCAAAGCGGCCAGGCGGCTGCGTCAGGCCCACGGCCTCCGTCGACGGACGGTGAAGTCAGGGCTCAGAGAGTTTGCTGTGAATTCAGGCAGACCGAAGCCCTGGCCTCCGATCGGAGAACCAGGCCCTCCCGGGAAGCAGCATCGCGAAAGTGACCATCCCACAGCCCACTCTCCACGTACCTTGCAGAGACCAGTTTGCTCTTTGAAGGTTGTGGTCATTGGGGCTTATCGTCCACGGGCGTCTGGATTTGAAGGTAAGGCCTTGGGACCAGAGTTCAGGGGAGCCGGCTGAATATCCATCCAACGCCGGATGCCTTACCTTGGACCCTATGGCTTTGGCAAGACAGAACTGGTTCCGGAGCCAAGGTGCTTCCAGTGATCCATGCCACCATGGCGAGGAGGTCTGGAGCGTGGGTTTGTGCTAGAAGTGGTGGTGATGATGCTGGTGATGATGATGATGATGATGGTGATGACGAAGACGACAACTGATATTTGTGCTCAAGCTGCCCGCTGCCCTGAAAAAAAAAAAACAGTCTTCATCACGACGAGAAACGTCCTTGCAGTGCAGGGGCGTAGATGCTTCGGAAATCGAGATCGTGGCACTGGGTGATCTACAGGTCTCCAAGGCGGAGAGGCACTTCCCACTCAGCTGCTTGAGCCACTTGCATCGTCGTTGAGCGACCCTTGAAAGTGAATGAGAGGTTCACAGGCATTGCAAGAGACCTGAATGAAATCCAAATTACGCTGGCCTCAAGCTACCGTGGTCCTTGGGCAGGACCCCTAGTATGTGGAAACATGTTGAGACGCTTATACCGAGTTGGTGAGGTGAAATCCGGATCCTTTCTACATCACGGGGCGCTGCGAGGTCTGACTCAGGGCCATCGACACCTATTAAACCATCCTTTCCCAGAAATCATCACCAAGTCTAAACCATCCGAAGTAGCACCTACATTGCTGGAGCTCTTCGGGCTTTCGGGCAAAACCATTGCTTCCTAAAGCGCATCCCGGATGTTGAACGCCGAGCTCCCTCCCTGGGCCCACGCCCCCTTGCCGGCCCAGCAGCCCCGTCGCCCCTCCTCGAGCCAGGGAAGTCGTGGCGGTCGGGTTTCGGCTTGGTTTTGACTACGAAGCCTGGCGGTGAGGATGTAGGCACGCTGCGCGGATGTGCGGATGGATGGACTTAGTTGCCTTCAAAACTGCCTGAGTCGGGTTGGGTTTCGAGACCTCAGCGCTGGGCTCGAGGAGTTCAGCCGCCGTCAGATCCCAAATCACTGAAACGAGAACCCTTGAAAGCAAAGTCGCCAGCCTGCGCCCGGCGAGGCTCCAGGAAGACCTCCTCCGCACCGAGGCCTTTGCCGTCGCTATAGATGTAAAAAGACCTGGCTGCAGAGCTTCTCGGTGCAGAGTCTTCCGGACTCTTCGGTTAAAACGGGGCGGGCCCACACCCTGGCACCGCTGTAGAGCGTCTGGCCTCTCACATCCACGATGTTCACGTAGACCCTGGCCACACAAGCGGTTGCCAAAACTACTCGCAAGTCTTGACCCTTCAGTTTCGCTGTCATCAGCAACATGCGCCACACAACCAAACCAAGATACCGTTGAAAATTAGGTGAAGTGCGGAGACTGAGAACAAGCAGGCAATGATAGCTGATAGCTAAAGTCAGAACTTGGTGATGAGACGGTCACAGTTCTTGTGGCTACATTGATGATGACGGTGTTGATGATGCCTGCTAGTCCATGTGCGGCGCAACTTTCTGCATATCTAAAACAAGTCATGGTTGTTCCTTGAAATGAGCAAAACGCAGACCTTGTCCCAAAACCTGGACAGCCTGAAACCTGCAATCAGCCGAAGTATGCAACAATGTAACCTATACTCAAAACCAGAGGGCTAGTCAAGTCTCGGGCGAGTTGGAGTTTTCACCGTCAGGTGCAGCCCGGCATGGCGACAAAAGGTTTGACGGACATGGAACTGCACAAGCAGCAGGATCAGGGGCAAGACTTGCTCATACTGTTTCCTCAGGCCAAATCCTCCACGCCCACAGGGTTTTCCAAACAACATCTTGGAACTGCTTGTAGCTCCAAGCCACATCCCACGCCACCGAGCTACAAACCACCTGATGACCAGAGCCGGCAACGGGACGCAGGTCCTCCAGTTGTTCTTGAAGGCCTCCGGATGCTCCAGCTCTACATCCGGTTTGATCCAACCAAACCTCAGAAGCATCGAAAGCTGTTGGGCTTCGTTGTATCATTCGCTCTCTGGTGCCAAGCCAGAAGCTGGGTGTCAAGCTTTCGCTTCCACTGAAGCACCTGAGCGCTTAAACTCTGGAAAGAAAGCAGGAACTCGACTTGAATTGAATCACGTGCTCCTCAGGAACTGCACAGTAAACCGTCCGTGTGATCTCAGTCCCAGGCGGAACCTGTGTGCCGGATGTTCCTTGGAACTTCTTCTGTTCAGCACTCAGTATTTGTGATTTGTGTCAATAAACACCAACAGATGCTCTGCGCTTCGTCCAAATTGTCCCGTCCGGGCTTCGCACGCGATCCGATGTCTCGGGCGCCCCTGGCCCGCCCATGGCGCGGCCATAGAATCCCGCTCAGGGCGGGGCTTCCACATAGAGGTCCAGCATTTGTGGTGTGTGGCACTGTGTACAATATTCCACGTTATAATAATTCAATGGGGGAAACTAAAACTGGGCAGGAATGTGAGACTGGCGCTGGGTCGTGTCCAACATCTCCGATCCTAGTCTGCACTCCGATATCTACCTGCCCATGAATCAGGTTGGGGTAAAGCACTCTTGAAGCTTCGAGGGGACGGGCGGGAATCGGAAATCCACTTGCCTCCCTCACATTGAACGCAGGAGATGGGGAATCCGTTTCCCAAAAGCTCCGACAGTGCTACAGCCGCCCACGTTCACAGAAGGACTCAAAACAATTGCCAGCTTCCCTAGTAGCCCGAACGGCTGCAAGAACAGGCGCAGTCCAAGCACACCTTTGTTTGGTTCTTGCATTTCTTACACTTTCTGGAGTTTGAGTTCAAGGCCGAGCCGGTGGCTTCTCGGCCGGTGTTTTCTGGGCAAGGGTTTACGCATTGCCTTAACTCGGATCCTCTCTTGTCGAATCGTCTCCCGCTCGAAACACCCTGATCCCCGGAACCGCCCGAACTTGAAAGCCCTGTGCTGGCATGACCTGGCTCATGCTGACGACTTTTTTCGGTGTTATACGCGGGTGACACGCTTTGCCAAGCTCTTGCTCCGGGGCTCCAAGCGTCGGACAGAGGTCCTTTGAGGTGCAAAGGCAGGAGGTCAGGCCGCTCAGACGGCAAGACACTGGGTTTAGGGTTTAGGGTACTAACATCATTCGATCAAGTCTATGCTGCTATATGGCCTTCGGACACCCCGGGATTCCTGGTCTGTGATTGTACTTGTGTGTGTGTGTGTGCGTATATGTATGCACGTAAGTATGCATGTATGTATGTATGTATGTATGTATGTATGTAAGTATGCACACGAAAATATATAATACATATCCATACATACCAATACATTTACATGTTTGTGCAAAACCCTACATATACATATGCGTACACACACTTCACAAAAACCACCAAATCCACATACGTACAGACACAATCAAACATGCATGCGGACAGCCGTACATGCATGCAATCATACATACATACATACATACATACATACATACATACATACATACATACATACTTCTTCCCACGCCGCAAGAGGGTACTCGCGTTGTCATACATGAAAACATACATATACCTGCCTGCCTTCCTGAATACCTACAGACAGACGGGCAGACAGACAGACCTGGACGTGCATACACATATATGGAGCTGCAGTACATACGCTATCGGCTTTTGCGCTGTTTTGACCTCTACCTTCGGAGCTCCACACTCTGCATTCTCTGGCCTCCGAGCTTACACCAGAAAGCGCAGCCCACCAGACCTGAAAGTCTCTCGACCCCCTCAAAGCTGAAAGCCTGGACACCTGCGAGAGTCTGCAAGCATGAGCCTTACATAGCCCTAAGGCCCTAACAGAACATTCGCCAAGCTCAGCTCTTCTCAGCTCTTCAGGGGTGGCGACCTCAGGCTCCGCAGGTTCCGCAGGCGGCAGCTACAAGTACTCTAAGAGGGGCAGAGGAATCAGCCAGGTGAGAGAAGTCACGTCGTGCGTTGTGAAATCCCCCCCGCACGAATCCCCATCCCGGATCAGCTTCAGGTGAACAAGCACTCTCCCAGGAATTGTTTTGTTTGCTTCCAGCCAAGCCAGGACAAACGCGTGCAGGAGCTTGCGCCCCACAGGACAAACCAACTCTGGGAGGGTCTCCCCACCGAGACCGGCACACCAAAATCACGGAGTCGCCACGCACCTGAGCGGCGGTCTGAGTTTGAGACCCTTCCTGGCAAAGTTGGAAGCCTGGCCGACCTCTCCAAGTCCCAACAGGGGGCTTCTTTGGGTTCCGCAACGGTCAGCAGCCTCGATTCAAAAGCCGCTGGTCGTTGGTGAAACACACCGCTCCGATCATCAAAAAGACCAGGTCCGTGTATAGAACTGAGTGAGAGCATTTGGCCTGCAGGCTTTATAACCAACACGTCCCTCACTATTCTGGCTCACCGATCCACGATCCCACCATTCCAGCACAAACACACAGCTCAGCCCAACCGGAGCACCGACGAAGCAATTGAAAAATACCCACCAAGCAACCAGCACCGAGGAAGGGCCCTCAAAAGCCTGACGCGTCACACAGAAAAAGATGGGGACCCTGCAAAGATCATCTCGATGCCCCGTCGGTTGGCCTTGATCTCGGGCTCCTCCTCCGCAGATGGAGGCTTTACCTCTAGATGTCATGTTCCGATAGCAGCACCACTGCCGAGTGTATGATGACCGGAGCCAGCTTCCCATGCATTTTGTGACAAGTGAAGCCGTCCTTTCCGGGCACTTCCTCTCGGACGTAGGATATCTCCTGTGCCGGCATATGCGTTCCAAGAAGTAGCTAATTACCTGGCAACGGTTCCAAGGCTTGCTCACTTAAGTCCTGCGGATTTGAGGGCGGGTCCTCTGAACCTGCAGCCCGAATCCGTAGGCAGTCGGGCCTCTACTTCGCTGAGCACCATGTTCAGGTGCTGGTCGAAGGCATGCAGCCTGGTACAGTATGGTAGGTTTACTGGGCTTACAAGTCTTTTCATCAGGCGGAAAGTTGCAACACAGACCCTGCTGGAACCTTTCCGGCCGATACTGGGGGGATGCAGTCTCTACGGGAATTGGCCAACACAACGATGAGCGCCAGTGCCTTGACCCGTCTGCTAGATGTGCATGTTCCGGTGTATGACTGGATGGCGTGACGAGGAACCACTAGCACTTCGTTGGCACATTGCGAAAAGCTGGAGTCCCAACAGGCTTTCGGGAGGGCTGCGAAGGTCACGAACGATGCCAACGACTCACACCGACTGCTGCCTCCCTCGGATCTCACGGTCGCCGCGGCACTTGACGAAGATTCGCTCGTCGAGATTTAACCTGGTCAACTTTGTGCCTTTACGGACCAGGTCTGTTGCGGGATGGGGATGGCGGAAGCCGCATAGACACTTGATACAGCAGCAAGACTCTTTGCAAAGTAACCATGTCGTCTGCGCAAGAATATCAGATGCCTGCCCAACCGATGGAACCATCGTCAACCGCAGCACCGGGTGCGGTGCCGAATCATGTCCAGCGGCTCCTCGATGGACGAAAGCCCCTGTGCAGCTTCGGTTCTTTGATGCTTCAATTCTTTGAACCCCTTAAAGCCCCGAAGTTTGGCTCCCAGTGTTCACTGCCTCCGCCATCCTGGGCGGAAGGAGCCTGGGGCTGGGCTGCGGAGTACTTGCAACCAACTCTCGGCCCTAAATCTGGTGCAGGTGGCGTCGCACTGCAGAGTTAGGGGGTCACACGTTGGTATT